CCTTAGTGGCAGCATCCCATCTAGCATAGCTAACCTCACCTCTCTAACTGAACTTTATCTGTACAATAACAGCCTTAGTGGCAGCATCCCATCTAGCATAGCTAACCTCACCTCTCTAACTGTACTTTCCTTGTACAATAACGAACTCACTGGAAGCATCCCACCGAGCATAGGTAATCTCTTTTCCCTTACTTACCTTGCACTTGATCTTAACCGATTATCAGGAAGCATACCACATTCATTGGGCAGGCTTTCTGAACTAAGAGCACTTGATCTGTTTGGTAACAACCTCTCCGAAGTCGTACCATCTTCACTGTGGAATCTTTCTTCTCTTTCTTTTCTAGATATGTCATATAACTATCACCTATCTGGCTCACTTCCACCTAACATAGGCCAAGCTCTTCCTCTGCTTGAAACATTTTACCTTCCCTTTAACCAATTCCACGGACCTATCCCAATGTCATTGTCCAATGCATCTCGTCTTCAAAACATTGATCTTTCTGGAAATAGCTTCAGTGGCGTAATCCCTCCTAGCCTCGGACGTTTACGAGAGCTGCAATCACTAATTCTATATAGTAACCACTTGGAAACCATGACACCTGATGGATGGAATTTCCTAACCGCGTTGACCAATTGTACCCAGTTGGAGTGGTTGACCCTAGCGTCAAATAAGCTTAGAGGCGTGCTACCAAATTCAATCGCCAACCTCTCCACCAATATACAGTTTCTATATATGCAGAATAACTTTATCTCTGGAACTATATCTTCTGATATCGGAAACCTCGTAAACCTTATGGTGCTTCGTATGAATGGAAACTCGCTTTATGGTTCTATTCCTTCAAGCATTGGGATGCTTCAGAAGTTGCATGAATTGTATTTGTACAGAAACAAGCTATCTGGAGAGATTCCATCTACCATTGGCAACCTTACTCAATTGAATGAACTTTATCTAGATTCCAATGAACTAAGCGGAAATATACCAGTAAGTCTGGGAAAGTGCCAAAACCTAATATATCTAAATCTTGGATCTAACAAACTTACGGGTAATATACCCAAAGAAATAGTCTCCATTTCTGGACTCTCCATATATTTAAGTTTGGCATCCAATGCACTGTCAGGGCCAATACCATCTGAAATCGGGAGCTTAATAAACGTGAATATATTAGATTTCAGCATGAACAAATTGTCCGGTGAAATCCCTATCACTCTCAGTAAGTGTCAAGTGCTGGAGGAACTTTATATTGGTGGAAATCTCTTTCAAGGAAGTATTCCTTCTTTTTTAGCCTCGTTAAGAGGCATCCAGAAGCTCGATTTTTCAAAAAATAACTTGTCGGGAAAAATACCTGATTTCTTACAAGATTTTCATGGCCTAGACTATTTGAATCTCTCCTTCAATAACTTTGAAGGTGAAGTGCCACTACTTGGTGTGTTTGCAAATGCAAGTGCAGTTTCAGTTATTGGAAATAGTAAGCTTTGTGGAGGGAATCCAGGAATGCATCTGCCAGCTTGCCCTTCTGAACCCATTAACAAGAAACATCACTCGCATACAGTAATGGTGATCTGCGGGAGTACTATTTTATTTATATTTGTGATTCTTCTTTTCTGTTTCCTCGTAGTTCGATGCCGTCGAAAAGGTTCAAGAAGAAAATCTCTTGACTCATCACCCACAATCGAGCAAAATGTGAAGGTCACTTATGGTGATCTAGTGAGAGCCACAGATGGATTTTCAGAGGAGAATATAATTGGGACTGGTAGTTTTGGTACAGTATATAAAGGACTACTTGATGGTGAAAGTAGGAAAATTGTTGCTGTAAAGGTATTGAACCTTCAAATACAAGGAGCATCGAGGACATTTATAGCAGAGTGTGAAGCCGTGAAAAACATCCGACATCGGAATCTTCTCAAGATCCTTACGGTATGTTCAAGCGTAGATTTCAAAGGTAATGACTTCAAAGCTGTAGTTTTTGAGTTCATAGAAAATGGAAGTTTAGATGATTGGTTGCATCCCAAAGCAAATGAGCAGTCCAAACCAAAGAAATTAGACCTTACGGCAAGGTTAGATATAGCTATTGACGTAGCTTATGCTTTGCGATTATCTCCACCATCAATGTGCGCAAACCAATTGTTTCACTTGATCTAGCAACAACATTCTTCTGGATGATAATATTACTGCTCATGTTCGGTGATTTGGTTAGCCAAGTTCTCAAAAAGGTTACCTCCAGTACTCATACAAGTTCAGCTGAGTTAGAGAACTTATCGCGGATATTGCTCCCAGGTAAAAACTTAATATCTCTTTGATTGCATTACTTTTATATTGTGTGTATTATTCTTAGGCTAAAATTTTAAAAGAGAAACAAGATTCCATCTGAACCTAAACATCACGGTAGTTTTCCTTTATGGCTGAACACCAATGCATGTAATTGTTTTTTTCTTCACACGTAGCAATTTCAAATGCATACAGGGTTTTACTACACATTCTATTAGTAATATGTTCTGAATTTAAAGATGTAATTTTATTATATAATTAAACTTATCAATCTATGTGTTATCTTATGCACTTTCACTGAAAATATTCTCCTTAGCAATTCCATATATTGCCAAATTAATTTGATCAAAAACTGTAATACTCAGTCTTACTTTATTCTTTCTCTTTGGAATTAATCTCAGCTGTAATCCTTTCTAATTGTTTCTATGTATTTCAACCTAAGTTTTTTTTTTTTTAAAGAAGTACGGACAGGGCAATGACGTATACTTGTGAGATGTGTATATGCTATGGGATCCTTTTACTGGAAAATGTTCGAGGAAAGAGACCCATAAAATGCAGAATATGTTTGTAGAGCGTCTTACTCTCCTATGTTTTTGAAGATGGCATTTCCTGAACAAATTCATAGATGTCATTGACGCTTCATTTGCTCACACAAGTGTGATTTTGAAAGAATGAATTATGCAAAGAGCAACCAACGTGCATCCGCTTCAATGCTTCGAATTGGTATCTTTTGCTCAAAGAATTACCAGCAGAGAGAATGCGAGACAGACAAATCATCAAAGTGAAACTGCATATTGTTGAGATATGTTCAATGAGGAATGAAATTATGGAGAGACAGAGAGTTACTCAGAATGGGTGAAAAGGTCCATCTACAGAATATTCAATGACAAACATGCGTATGGAATGTGTATGCATGTGACACACACACTAATAAAATTCACACACAAAAAATCTCCTACTGAATTAATGTCGCGATCAGGTGGTGATTTAGTGAGATAGCCAATTTATTATGATAGTGTTCTACTGAAATATATTGCTTAGTCATTCATGTAATTTTAATTGCAAATATTTAATCGTGAATGATCCTTAAGTAACTATATTAAAGGAAAACATTGCACTAGTATACTGTAGAGTAATCCTATTGAATTCCATGCATTCCACTTCATTTTTTTTGGTCGATGAAAAATATAATTCCATTAACCAAATGAGCATTTACGTATAGCATTAAGGTACAGACATACCTGAGCAATACAATTTACTTCAGACACATGAAACCCTCAAGCAACAGATATATAATGAAACAAAAGCTAACAGCCTATGTATTGTAAATAGTTACCAACATCACAATATTCTGGAGGGATGGGATGGTGAAAGATAGGAGGTTGATAGTGCTTTAATTATTGTATTAAACCACTAGCACTGTTGCGTGCTATAGATAAATTCTTGTTGAAATTCCCTGTGCTTATATATTAGTAACCAAAGTGAAAGTGCTTTTATTACTAAGTGGAAGAAAATGGTTCCTACCAACGCCCATGTGTGTGTATTTGTTTGGTGTTAAAGAGAATTCCTGTTGAAATTCCCTCTGCTCACACATTAGTAATTTAATTAAGTTGCCCCTTAAATAAATGTTGATGGAAGAAAGAATTCATGCCGTCAACCATAGTTGTTGTTATTTTTCTATCTGCAGAATTTCTCAGTTTATCTTTATGCTATGCTACCTTAGTTGCATATGTACATGTCATCGTAATAGATATGGAGGAATAAGATTCTTATTCCTAGAGATGCTTACAGCATTAACAGTAATAAGTTTTTTTGCATACAGATGCTGTGAATAATCTCCTAGTTTTAAGCCTTTAAGACAATTTGTTAATATCATTTGATTTCTTTCAATGTCAGTGATTTACACTTGTTTATAATCTCCATACTCAGGCACGACAATTGTCCCGAGCACACTATGTAGAGAATGGAGATAGAAATGGTTATTGAAGCAGGCAATGGTATAGGAACATAGAGATTTATGCGACAATAAGAGAGAGAAATTGTTTTATATTTGTTCTCATAGTGGGTTTCTGCTAATCAGTAGATTGGATTGTTGAATATACCTTATCATATTATTCAAAATGCTTTTATTCAGATGTTTTTTCTCCATGAACCTTTTTCTTCTGAGAATGTCCTTTATCATCACGATCTTGTTTGATTCTGGCTTCTTTTACTTCATTAGATAGATTGAGTTCTTTCTTTCAAACATTGAGGTTGAAGCATCTGTGTTTATGCTTGATAGTCCTGGATATTGTTGGATAAAATGGTCAGAAAAAGAAATGTAGAAGCTCTGGTTTGTTTTCTAGAGGCTTTACCTACTGTCTTCAAATTTGAAACTTTTTCATTATCTTAGTTGGTGACTAATTTACTTGCAATTGGTGACATCAAATTCTTGTTAACAGGAATCAATGGACATTGTAGATAAAACAAAGTTTTTGCTTTTGCTAATTTGTCCTTGTCACGGCCCGGGCCCACGAGCTCGTTGGTGCGATGTACGTCCTGAGATCCAAGGAGGGCAACACGTGGTTGGCTCAATCCACTGCCAAAATTAGCTAGCCAATGTTACACTTGGCTCTCAAGACCCATCATTTAAACCATTCAATCATTCACTTAGTATCCGATATGGGACTAAATATTGGGGTATTACAGCCCTCCTATTGATTCTCAAGTGAATCTTCTTGGCGTCATACTTGAGTTTAGAAATGACCAAACCAAATCCTATTGATTTTTGTGTGCTACTTGGTCTCTACTCAATGCACTGATCTAATCGATCTCCGTAATATCTGGTCTCAACCTTCATATTTCCACTTCTTGTGAAGCGACATTAATTCTTTCTCATTGTTAAAGCTAGTAAGGGCCAACTTCAATACACACATTATTGAAGCAGATCCTGTCCTAGTAAAATCAGCTGTAAATGAAGACTTAGATCAAATTATGGTTACATTTGATGGAGAGTACATATTTTTTTTTTTTTTTTTTGGGGGGGGGGGGGATCTCTGTACCCGATCGAAGTTAGTCAACGTCTTCTAGTGTTGCGGAGGAGAGACGTTTTCAACTGACATTACATTGTCTATGTACGTTTCAGTTATTGATAAATATTGGTGGCTCTAATTCATGAAAGTGGGTTTACTGGGGACCCATCCTTTGATTATTCTTTACTTGCAAACAACTAAGATTTAACCCAGACTCTTATATGAAAAATGAAAGGCCTTAATCTATAGATAGATTGTAAGAGCTTGACCATATATCATTCCAATCATCTTCAAAAATCCATTCCAATAGCTCATCTGTTAGTTTTTTTTGTCTGTTCACAACTCTAGTCCTCCTCTCATGCCCTAAAGCTTCCACTTCCGCCACCACCTTCCATCCAAAACACGACAATGTCAGCGATTGACAATCATTTCTTCAAATCCATGATATCTAGAGATCCAAGAGGGTCACTGGCCTTGTGGAACGACCATGCTTATTTCTGTAATTGGCCAGGTATCACTCTGGTGGCTTCCAACATCCTCAAAAGGGTCTGTAGGCATCGAAAACTGCCTATAGGTCTCCACGAACAGCTCAGTATTAAGGAACGACGATGAACATCACTATCCGGTTCACAGGAGTTCGATTGATGTCGGTGAACGCTTGAAGTGAATCGACGAACTACGTGGACTAACAGAATTTCGGAATAACGAAGGTACGGGCTAATCGGGAGCCCCGTGATGTTTACAAAAGGAACAATACCCTTCGTGTCTTATTCATTCTACAGATGATCCAACCATTGGAACTGATAGAACTCCTTGTCGGTTTTCCAATGCACTTCGAACCACTCAAATCCAAGTTTGGACGAAGAAGTTACGGCGGAAACGAACAAACATACGAAAAAAGCGGCGTCTCAACACTTCAAGGTGTCTCGGCCAAGAGAGACACCCTAAGGTGTCTCGGCCAAGGCCGGGTGTCCCTAGGGTGTCTCGGCTCAGGTGGAGACACCCTGGGGTGTCTCCAACGCAGATTTGGGCCCTTATGCGATTTTAACCGCCCGTTATCTCCTCGTGCCTATAAATAGAAGCCCCGGAGCCTCACTTTTTCAGATCTGGAATTTTGGAGAATTGGCGAAGCCCTGCCGAACTGAAGAGTGATCGAGTTATTCAACACAAGAGATCGAAAGTCGTCAGATCTACATCACCCGCATCCAATCCTTAGTATTATCCCGTTGTGGTAATTCTAAGAAGAGAAATTATCTCGCTTTTGTCGAGATAAGCGCTTCTGTTTCTAGATCTCCTCGTGGATCGACGAAGCTCTGGACCTGATCTGATTGCCAGGTAGTCCACGGATATCGACATCCCCATCACAGGCTAAAGACTCATGCAAGCAAGAGACGACGAACGGATCTTGTGTTTATTTTCAAGAAAGTTGTAATCTTTTATTCTTTTGTTGTTTGAATTCATTTGTAACGCTTAAAGTTTAATGAAATCAATGACTAAGGTAACTTTCGACAAAAACAAACTGGCGACCACAGTGGGAGCCAACAGCCTCATTGCCGAGGCTGTCGTGACGCAACCGACATTCAAGATCCGGGTGAATGAAGAGATCGAATATGAATTCGATCAACAGAAGTTCGAAGAGTACCTCTCTTCCTCCTCCTCCAGATCCGCCTCTCCAAGCAGGCGCAGGAAGGCATCCTCTTCCAGTAATGTTCGCGGGACCTCCGGCTCGAAGATCCGAGATCCCCTCGCTGTAACTGCACTTACTCCCCGCGACGCTCCTGCGACGTCTAACGTGGTCGAAGCTGTAGATCCAGATCTCCCCTCCGCCGTGAAGGTGACCGCTGAAGGTGCTCCAACTTTGTC